ACGCGCAGCAACAAAGACCCAACACGGCCAAAAATAAATAAATAATTTAAAAAATAAAGTGATGGAAAAATTGTCAACCAAGAATTCTATATCCAGCAAAACTGACCTTCAAAAATGTGGGAGAATTTAAGGCATTCACAGATAAACAATAGCTGAGGGAGTTCATCGCCACCAGACCTGGCCTACGGGAAATGCTCAAGGTAGCCCTTCAGATTTAAATGAAAGGATGTTAGTACCTCAAAGCCATAGGGAGAAATAAAGATCTGTGGTAAAAGCAAAACCATGGGCAAGTATAAGAACCAGTATTACTGTATTTTGGGTTATGACTCCACTTTTTATTTACTACATGATTTGGAAAACAAATGCATAAACAACAATTACAAATTCATGTAATTGTGCACACAGTGTACAAACATGTAATTTGCAATGACAACATAAAGCAGATGGAACTGTTTAGAAGCATAGTTTATGTGATTGAGTGAAGTTGTCCACCTCAAGTACGCTGTTATAAATTTAGGATGTTAAGTGCAATCTCCCTGGTAAGCAAAGAAAATATCTAGAAGATATACACAAAAAAATCCACAAGGAAGCTACTAGAGATAATAAATTCAGGAAAGTTGCAGGGTACTAGATCAACAAACAAAATCAGTTATGTTTCTACGCACCTGCAATGAACAATTCAAAAGGAAATTAAGAAAGCAATTCCATTTAAAATAGCATCTAAAAGAATAAAATAATTAGAAATAAATTTAACCAAGGGGGTGATTTAATTGTACACTGAAAACCATAAAACATTGTTGACATAAATTAAAGAAAACCTAAATAATTGGAAAGATGTCCTTTGTTCATGGGTAGAAAGATTTTTTTTTTTTTTTTCTGGCTGCACCACGCGGCTTATACTTAGTTCCCTGACCAGGGATTGAACTACAGCCCCAGCAGTGAAAGCACTGAGTCCTAACCACTGGACCACCAGAAAAGTCCCAGGAAGACTTAATTCTAAGATGTCAGTACTACGCAAAGTGATGTACAGGTTCAATGCAATCCCTATCAAAATTCCAACTGTTTCTTTTTTCTTTTTTTTTTTTTGCAGAAATTTTATGTCAATCCTCAAATTCATATGGAATTGCAAGGGGGGCTCTGAATAGCCAAAATAATCTTGGAAAAGGACAACGTTAGATGACGCACATTTCCCAATTTCAAAACTTCCTACAAACGCACAGTGTTCAAAACAGTGTGGTGTTGTCATAAGGATAGACATAGACCAATGGAACACAAGTAAGGCTCTAGAAATAAACTCATATCTATGGCCAATTGATTTCTGCAAGGGCAGTAAGTCTATTTAATGCGGGAAATAATTTGTCTTCAGCAAGTGATTCTGAGAAAATTAGATTTCCACACGAAGTTGGACCCCTATGTCACACCATATGCAAAAAGTTAACTCAAAGTGAATCAATGACCTAAATATAAGAGCTAAAACCACAAAACCCCTAGAAAAAAACATACAGGTTAATCTTCATAACCTTGGGTTTGACAATGGATTCTTAGATAAAACTCCAAAAGCACAAGCAACAACAGACACATGTTGGACGTCATCAAAGTAAAAATTTTTGTGCACCAAAGGACACTATCAAGAGTACAAAGGCAGCCCACAGAATGGGAGAAAATATTTTCAAACTACAAATCTGATAAGGGTTTAATAACCAGAATATACTTTTTAAAACTTCTAAAACTCAACAACAAAACCAAAAACTCTTGAAACTCAACAACAAAACCTCAAAAAAACCCCCAAATTAACAAAAAACTAAAACTCAACAAAATGAAGAATGAAAACACCTTTTATAATGTCAAAAGGGTACATTATATGTTATGTATAATTTAACACACACACACACACACATGAACGTGGGCATAACTGCAGGTGCCGCGTGGGTCAGAGCTGAGAGCACTGGGACCTGCTTGGGGACACCCCTTGCCCATTCAAGACATTTCTCCAAAGAAGATTTATAAATGTTCAATAAGTACATGAAAAGATACTCAATGTCACTAATCATGAAAATGCAAATCAAAATCTGAATGACAGACCACTTACACTCATGGGATGCTACTATGAAACAGAAAACAAGTGTTGGCAAGGATGTGGAGAAATTGGAACCTTTGTGCGCTGCTGGTTGAAATGTAAAATGATGCAGATGCTATGGAAAACATATGGAGGTTCCTCAAGAAATGAAACATAAAATTACTATATGATCCTGCAATCCCACTTCTGGGTATACCCCCCAAAACACTGAAAGCAAGGTCTTGAAGAGATATTTGTATACCCAGGTTCACAGCAGCATTTTAAACAATAGCCAAGAGTTGGAAACAACCCAGGTGTCCACTGATGGATGAATGGATATGCATAATGTGGTCCATCCATACAATGAAATATTATTTACCGTTAAAAAGGAAGGAAATCCTGACACAAGCTGTGACATAGATAAGCCTTGAAGATGTTATGCTCAGTGAAATAAGCCAGACACAAAAAGATAAATTCTGTATGATTCCACTTACATGAGGTATCTAGAATAGGCAAATTCATAGGGACTGGACAATAGAGGTCACCCCAGGCTGGGGGAGGGGGAATTGGGAGTTGTTGTTTAATGAGTGAATGGTTTCTGTTTGGAAAAATGAACTAGTTTTAGAAATAATGATGATGCATTAAAGCCAATGCATTTAGGGACTTTCCCTAGTGGTTCAGTGGTTAAGACTCTGCGCTCCCAATGCAGGGGGCCCAGATTCTATCCCTAGTCAGAGAACTAGATCCCACATGCCGCAACTAAAGATCCCATAGGCTGCAACTAAGACCCAGCGCAGCCAAATAAATAAATAAGTAAGTAAATAAAAGAATATTTGTGTTTGGGGGGGGGGGAAAGCCAATGCATTTAAACGTGGTTGAAAGTGTATAATTTAACACACACACACACATACACACACACACGAATATGGCCACACACACACGAATATGGCCATAACTGCAGGTGCTGCATGGGCCAGAGCTGAGAGCCCTGGGACCTACTTTGGTACCTCCCATCCATCCCCCCTCCCCACCCTTGGTTCCTGGCAGCTTTGAGGTCTGAAAAGGGCAGAGTAGGTTGTGATGAGGGACTGGGCCTGGCTCCCCAAATCTGTGGGCTGTGGAGGGGGCATCAGGCCCCAGCTTTGTCCCCAAAGTCAGTGGCCCCGGGCAGTTGGGGGAAGGGCCCTGGACCCCCAGACATACCCGAGTGTTCAGGGTCACCAGGTGTGGCAGGACAGTCTCAGAGGGAATCGGAATGCACCTCTCTGGGCCTTTTCAGTTCCACCCCAGGCATGGAGGAGCTGCCTGGAGGGTTGGGAGTGGGGAACGTGGTGGGTCTGTGGTGGGGGTGTTGGGATCAGGCCCCTGAGCTGATAGAGGAAGAGATGCAAGTGGGAGCAGCCTGGGGAGGGGCTGCCATCCAGGGGAAGGGGCTGTGAGTCCTTGTCCTGGCCCCCACCCTGAAGAGGCCGTTGGGGGCCTTCAAGTGTAGCTCTCTCAACACAGGACAGGAATCCCTAGGTGCGGGGATGGGGACCCAGGAACAGGGACACGGGAACATGGGAATCTGGGCACACAGGGACACGGAAAAGGGGGCATGGGGGTGGGCACACAGGGATGGGGATACGGGGCCATGGGGGACATGGAGTCACAGGGATGGTGCCACAGGGACGGGGACATAGGGACATGGGAACACGGGGACGGAGACACGGGGGTGGGGACATGGGAAAGTGAGGAACACAGGGACACAGGGATAGGGACATGGGGATGGGGACAGGGGCTGTGGGATGATTGTGGTGTGGCACTGGGTGACCTCAGGGTGACTACACCCATAGGGTGGTGTCATGTGATGGACAGTCATTGTCACCATGCTGACTGCCACAGCAACAGTCCTGGGACTGTGTGAGGGGAAGCCAATGGGCCAGCTGGCCCGGTTTCCCGGCTGTGGCCAGAGCCCAGGACCCCAGCCCAGCCTGGGCCGTCCCAGCACCAGACAGTCCAGGCCTGGGCAGAGTCTGGGGGTCGAGCTGGCCGGGGACAGTCTTGGGAGTCTGAACGGGTGGCTCCCCTTCCCTCTGCTGCCTGGGGCGGGGCCACCTTCCCCACCTGCTCTGGGCCTGGCTCACTGCCCACGTCCCCAGCAGGACTGTGGTCAGCACGGCCCCACCTGTGCTGAGCGGGCCGCCCAGCTTGGCCTGTCTGGCCCCTCACCGGGCCCTGGACTGGCACCGGGGGAGAGGTGGCCCTTCCGTCCTCTGGGTACTGCGGAGCCAGTGAGGGGGCTGGCCTGATGGGGAGGGGAGGGGGTCCCAGATCCCAGGCTTGGCCTCCTAGCCTTCTCCACCCCCACCAGCTGCCCAAACTCCTGCCTGGGCTCCGAGGCCCCCGCTCGCCCGGACCCTGCCCAGCCACACGGGCCCTCACTGTTGCTCGGACAGGACAGGCTCTTCTTCCACGGCGGCCGACCCTCTTCGACGGAGCCCCCACCCCCATCCTCCTAAGGCTCCCTCCCTCCCTCTCAGGGCTCGTTCTGAGCAGCTGCTCAGGAGGCGGCCTTCCCCAACCCTGCCCTTGACAGTGACCCTCCCCTGGGGCTGCCCACTGGGGGGCCCGACCCAGGACAACGCCGTGCGGCCAGGAGGCGGCTGGGCAGCGGGGCAGGCACTTCCCGCCCGGTGCGTGTGTGGCACGGCGCCCGGCCCTCAGCAGTGGCCGCTAGAGGACGGGTGACTGGCCAGGCACGTCCCCCGCCCCAGCACCGGGCCCTCGAGCCCTCAGCCCACTTCCTGTGCCCCCATAGCGACCATCTTCATGGTGACACAGAAGCGCCAGAAGCTTGAGGACCCGGAAGCTGGCCGCCGGCAGGACACGGCAGAGCTGCTCACAGCCCCGCCCAGGCCGTCACGTGAGGGCTTCCTGCCGGTCACGTGACCCCGCCCACCTGACCCGAAGCTGGCGGGCAAAGTGAACATGAGCTCCCCGCCCCAGGCGGCCCCGACGTGGGCCCTGGCCCTGGTGCTGGCCCTGCAGCTGCGCAGCCTGGAGGCCGGGGGTGAGTGCCGGCCCGCGGGCCCCCCACCCGGCACCCCCAGGTCCCCCCCGCTGAGCTCTGTGCCCTCCAGCCCACAGAGCCACGGACCCTGAGTTTCAGGAGGCCTACTTCGAGCAGCTCCTGGACCATTTCAACTTCGAGAGGTTTGGGAACAAGACCTTCCGCCAGCGGTTCCTGCTGTCAGGTGAGGTCGCCCTGGGGACAGTTCCTGCTGTCGGATGAGGACCGGCACCCCACGCCTCACCCGCCCCCTTGCCTCCATCCGACAGAGAAGTTCTGGAAGAGGGGCGAGGGGCCAATATTCTTCTACACGGGCAACGAGGGGGACGTGTGGTCCTTCGCCAACAACTCGGGGTTCATCCTGGAGCTGGCGGCGCAGCAGGGGGCCCTGGTCGTCTTTGCCGAGCACGTGGGTACCGGCTGGGGCTGGGGGTGGGACTGGGGGCCAGACCGGGGCGCGGGGTCAGTGACCCCTGGTCTCCTGCCCACAGCGGTACTACGGAAAGTCTCTCCCGTTCGGTGAGCGGTCCAGGTGCCGCGGGTACACGGAGCTGCTGACGGTGGAGCAGGCCCTGGCCGACTACGCGGGGCTGCTCCGGGCGCTTCGGCAGGAACTTGGGGCCCAGGACGCCCCCGCCATCGCCTTTGGCGGGAGGTGCGTCCTTGTCTCCTTTCTCTCCCGGAACAAATGCAAGCCTGGCCCCGGCCAGAATTTCTGTGGGTCCTAGAAGTTTGGGGTCCTTTGGAGGCATGGGGTGGGGGTCTCTGAGAAAGGAGAGAGGAGGCAGGTGTCGTCGCGGAGGCGCACTGGGGCCGGCGGGAGCGGGGTGCTGCAGGGGTGGCGTGGGGAGCCATCCGGCTAACCCTGCCCCCCTGCCCAGCTATGGGGGGATGCTCAGCGCCTACATGAGGATAAAGTACCCCCACCTCGTGGCGGGGGCGCTGGCAGCCAGCGCACCTGTCGTCTCGGTGGCAGGCCTCGGTGACCCCTACCAGTTCTTTCGGGACGTCTCAGCAGTAAGTGAAGCCTCCGGCCCCCGACCCCTCCCCCAAGCAGCCCAGGCTGCGGGTGCAGCCACACCCTTCCTTCCTCCAGGATTTTGAGGGCCAGAGTCCCAAGTGTGCCCAGGCCGTGCGGGACGCCTTCCGGCAGATCAAGGACTTGTTCCTACAGGGAGGTGAGGAGGCCGCCCCCTGCCTCCCTGCCCCCCATTCCCCCTCCCCCACGTGTGCCTGAAGACTCCAAAGGCCCTTGTCCTGCTCCTCCTGGCAGCCTATGACACGGTCAGCCAGGAGTTCGGCACCTGCTGGCCACTCTCTGGCCCAGGGGACCTGACCCAACTCTTCGGGTTTGCCCGGAATGCCTTCACCCTGCTGGCCATGATGGACTACCCGTACCCTACCGACTTCGTGGGACACCTTCCTGCCAACCCCGTCAAGGCGAGGCACCCACCCCTGGCTGGCGGGAACCCGGGGAGGGCAGTGTCCTGTGGATAGGGAAGGGCCCGGCTGCCCTGGGGTGGTCAGAGCTGGCCAGCCCCAGGACCTTGCACCCACTCTGGGACCTGGGACTAGGGAAGGTCTCGAGGGGGGTGGCCGGCTGAGGGGCTTTGCTGGCACCCACAGGTTGGCTGCGACCGGCTGCTGAGTGAGAGCCAGAGGATCAAGGGGCTCCGATCATTGGCCGGTGCGTCTGCCCACCTGCCTGGGCTGGTGTCAAGCGTGAGGGGCCCAGTGTTGGCAGGGGAGCGGGTGGGCTGAGGAGTGGGCGGGCAGCAATGAGGGCCGTACGGGGCCGGGGAGCGCAGAAGCCTCCACTTGGTCCCTGGGGCAGGAAATGGCCATCCCCGTCACGGCCCAGCCTGGAGAGCGCGAACCCAAGGGCCTTCTGGGAGGTCCCCAGTGCAAAGGGCAGCACACCCCACCTCAGCCCACCGTGCTGGGAGGGAGAACATCAAGGTGGGCTGCCCAGCTGCCCTCAGCAGCCAGGCCAGGAGCTGATAGTACAGGTCCCAGCCACTCCACTCCTCACTGGGCCCATAGGACCCCAGAGCCCCTGACACCTGCTGGACCCATCTAAGGGGGCAGGGTGGGTGTCCAGGCACCCAGCCCCAGTACCCCTCTCCCCCAGGCCTGGTGTACAACTCCTCGGGCACGGAGCCCTGCTATGACATCTACCTGCAGTACCAGGTCTGTGCCGACCCCACGGGCTGCGGCTTGGGCCCTGATGCCAAGGCCTGGGACTACCAGGTATGTGGGAGCTGGGGGCCTGGGACTGCCAGGTATGGGGTGCTACATGTGGTGTCCTGGCTCCCTGGCCTGATGGTGGTGCGGGTGTCCCGCAGGCCTGCACTGAGATCAACCTGACGTTTTCCAGCAACAATGTGTCAGACATCTTCCCTGACCTGCCCTTCACTGAAGCCCTGCGCCAGCAGTACTGCCTGGACACGTGGGGCGTGTGGCCCCGGCAGGACTGGCTGCAGACCAGCTTTGGGGGAGGCGGTGAGGCTCAAGACAGGGTTGGGGGCGGCATCCTTCCCCCTGCACTGAGCTGCCTCTGTTTCCCACACTCCCTAGTCCCCCTGGGTCACAGATCTGGGGGGGCCCCACCCGGTCCCCACCACTGCTTGCTCTGTCCGTTTCAGACCTCACAGCTGCCAGCAACATCATCTTCTCCAATGGTGACCTGGACCCCTGGGCCGGGGGAGGGGTGAGTCAGGCCAGGAAGTCCCCGCCCCGTGTGGGTCCCAGCACTCGTGGCCCTGCACCTCCTTGGTTTTTGTTCCAGTCTCCCTTGTTCCCTCCTCTCCCTTTGTTGGTTCTTTTCCTGACTTCTGGCTCATTCATCTTCACGTTTCATTTCTAATGGGACCGTTCAGGTCTATGCAGTCACCTCGAACTACTGCTTTAACTGCACCCCACAGGCTGGGACATGCAGCCTCCCAGCAGGTTGTGCTGTGAGGCTGAGGCCCAGAGCACAGTCTGCACCCCTGACACGGAGGCTCCTTCAATGATACAGATTCAGAGCAACCTGAGCATGTCAGTCCTCGCCGTCACCATCCACGGGGGAGCACATCACCTGGACCTCAGGTGCGGTCCTGCCTGGGGAGGGGGTGTAGTACCTGGCCTGGGCCGATGGGTGGACGTGGGCTAGGGTGGTGTGAGGCTCGGGGCCTGCCAGCCCTGCTGAGTGTCCCCCACGCCTGCTCCTCAGAGCGTCCCACCCAGAAGACCCCGCATCTGTCGTGGAGGCGCGCAGGCTAGAGGCCACCCTCATCGGCAAGTGGGTCGAGGCAGCGAGGCATGAGCAGTGGCTGCGGCTGGCACAGCACAGGGGCTCCGAGGCTGAGGGGTGCTCCCCCAGCAGGACCAGGGAGGACTTGCTGGGAGCCTGAGGCGAGTAAGCGGGGGAGGAGCCCCGGCCCAACCTCCTGAACCTGGAGCTCGGCCAGGGTGGGCAGGGTCTTGCCCGAGGGAGAGGCCGGACAAACACTGGTGGCCTGTCAGGCATGTCCTGTCCCACGTCCTGTCCTGTCTTGAGGCCCTGGACACAGTGAACACACTTACACCACCTCCTAAACTCCGCTGATAAATAAAAGAGTCCTCAGCTCCCATCTGTGTCTTGGGTGACGGGGGATGCCGGCCTTTCCTGCGGCGGCCAATCCACACCACCACGAGAGGCCACCCCAGTGATTGTCCACCTCCCTTCTCAGCTGTCCTCTTCATCCTCTTCGTCCCCAACCACTGCAGTGTCCGTCTGGGGAGCCCTGCAGCCCCCAAGTCCCCCTGCTTGGGGCCAGGCCTGGGCGGGGCCGGGGGGCAGTCTGCCTCACTCAGCGGACTCAGGCCCCACCGTGTGGGAAGCCTGCTGTCCCGAGTCCCACACCCACTGCTGCCCAAGAGGCTCCTGCGCTGGGGTATGGGGGGCGGGGGTCGCGACAGGGAGCATCACGCGCCCCCCAGCTGGGGAGGTCGTGCCAGGCAGGCAGCCACAGCCGTGAGAGGCAGGGCAAGAGGCCGACTGAGACACGGGCCCCGCACACCTGCCGGGCACCTGCCGGGCACGGAGCCTGCAGGGCCCGTGGGCAAGTGGAGGGCGGCAGCCCTGCCTGAGGGTGAGCGCACAAGGTGCGAGCGGAGGAGGGGCCACAGCAACAGGCCAGGCACTGCCTGACCCCGGGTCCGGTACCTGTGTAGAGGCTTCTAGGGGTAAGAACGAAGTCTCCTCACATTTAACACAGAGAAGGGGCTGGCCTGTCCTACAGGGTCACCAGGGCCTGGGAGCTAGGGCCACTCGAGGCCCAGGATCCTGGCTTCTCTCTGGAAAGCTACCCCGGGGTCAGTCCTAAGGCATGGGTGCAGCCGGCTAAAGAAAAGGAGTGAGGGCTTCCGTGATGGTGCGGTGGTTAGGAATTTGCCTGCCAATGCAGGGGACACGGGTTCGAGCCCTGGTCCGGGAAGATCCCACATGCCGCAGAGCAACTAAGCCCGTGCACCACAACTACTGAGCCTGCACTCTAGAGCCCGTGAGCCACAACTACAGAGCCTGCGTGCCGCAACTACTGAAGCCCGCGCACCTAGAGCCCATGCTCCGCAACAAGAGAAGCCACCGCAATGAGAAGAAGCCCGCGCACCACAACGAAGACCCAATGCAGCCAAAATTAAATAAAATAAATTTATTTTTTAAAAGAAGGAATGAAATAGGTTGACCAGGCACCCTGAGAAGGAGCCCCAGGCGCAGACACCCCACACGCCAGGGAAGCGGGCAGAGCAGGTAGGGCCCACCATGCTCACTGGCGCCGGCAACCGTAACAGGCATATTCTCACCCTGGGTGCCACTGTGGCCAGCACCTGCCCCGGGAAGCTGACACTCCCAAATCTCCCCCCCCCCCCCGGGGGCAGGGGCAAAGCTGACCTCTGGACACGTCAGACCTGACCCAAACACTGCCCCTGCCGCCCCTCCCCGTTTCACAGTTGCGATTCCGGAAACAAAGACACAGCAGGTGCCAGTTAGAACAAATGTACTTTTATCTCCACGGAAAAGTCCATCAATCAGGGCTGGCCTGGGAGCCAGTGAACTTGCCGGCCCAGCCCCGCCCAGCCCCTGCAAGGGCAAGGGGAGGATCCCTGAGTCCAACGTGTAAACACCACAGCCAGCCAGGGGCCCAGATCCCCATGAGGTCACGGATGCCCCCTGAGACCCCCGGGTTGGGGCGTGTTCACAGGCTGTGAGGCCCCGAGGCTGAGCTGTACCCAGGCTGTCCCCGCAGCACCTGTCTCTGATCTCATCATGGGCTCTGGGGACCCAGTGTGGCCCAGGGTGACCAGAGGGCCCAGGACCCCTAGGAAGCCCTGCACGGCCAGCAGGAGGGCATTCGGGTTTCAGGAATGTAGTCACGATTTGATTTTCTCAGGAAGAAGGAAGAGGCTCCCCGGGTGGACAGGACCTCCCTAAATCACAGCACTGATTTATTCCTACTCGTTCCTAACGGTGTCCCGACGAGAACCAGGCAAGGAGCCCAGAACCCGTGGCAGAGCACCAGAAGCCCAGCGGCCACCCCAAGCAGCTATGAGGCCCCGAAACGTCCTGGCCCAGCTGCCGCTGGCCTCTGTCATCAGCCCGGCCTGGAGCACTTCCAGCCGGCTGGGCGGACACTGCACAGCCAAGGTCAGGGCCAGGGTCATGCCCACAGGCACCCTCCATGACAGGACTCATGAGTCCCCCGGGCAGCGCCCACTCGGGAGCCGTCCCGCCCTAGGAGGGGGCCCAGATGGGCAGGGGGTGAGCCTCCGTGTTGAACACGTAAGTGTCCAGGCTGAGCAGGTCTGGGTCGTCGGAGAAGAGCAGATACAGGTACTTGAGCGTCTCCCCCAGGAAGAAGCTCTCCATCTTGTCCCTGGGCTGGGGATTGCGGGGGTCCTGGACGTTGCTGATGGAAGAGTAGCCACCCGAGGGGACCTGCACGAGAGCCAAGGCCGCAGCGTCACGACGCAGGCGCAGCCCCTTCCAAGGGCTGCGGGCTAGAGGCCCCCCAGGGCAGGGTCTGGGGCGGTGAGGACACCAAGGCCCACAAGGGGACTGGCCGCCCCGGAGGTCAGCCGTGGTTCCTCCAGGGACCCCCTGGGGGATGCCAGCAGCCTGCAAGTGACCAGATGGAAAGTGCGACCTCCAGAACCTGTACAGGTCTTGCAAAAGCCCGGAGGTCACCCGAGGGGTGTACAACCCAGCACCTCACGTGCCACGGGGCAAAGACCAAGTCTCAGCTCTGCTGGGCTGGGCACTGGGCCCTGTGCAGGGCGAGACCTTCTCTGAGCCATGGCCCCGGCTGTATGATGGGTGGCTGGGCCTGAGCACAGCGGGGGTGGTGGCGGTCACAGCACCCGTCCTGGGGAGCAGCGGCCGAGAAGTCACCTCCGGGTGGGCAAGTGCCGCCCAGGCCACAGACGACCCAGGAGGGACACGCTCTGTGCACCTCGGGCCGCTGCAGGGACCCGCCCCGAGACAGGAAGGAGGGATGCCCTGGCCCCCTGGTCATGTACACCTTGAGGGCAGTGCTGGGCAGCTGGGCCCTCGCGGCCGGGGCGGGGCCTCCCCCACCCAGTCCACGCGGCAGGCGACGGCGAGGAGCTGGGGATGAGACCCAGGCGGCAGGCGGGCCCTCACCCTCGCGTACGCGTTGAAGCTGCGCAGGATCTCCCAGCCCCAGTCCTGGTACTTGCGGTGGCCCGTGAGGCGGTACAGGTAGAACAGGCTCTCCACCGTCTCGGGCCGCAGTAGGTTGTGTCTGTCGGCGGCCTGGGGAGGAACGCGGGCTCAGGATTAGCCTCGCCACACCCCTGCCCTGGCGCCCCTGAGCCACACCGGCCCCAGCGTGGCTCACCTTGACCTGCACGTCCTTATGGGACTTCTGGGGATGCAGGTTGAAATGCACGATTTCGGGGCTCAGCCCCGTCTCCATCTGACGGTTCATCTGGTAGCAGGTGTCCATGAGCGCCTGGGCCAGCTCCATGTGGTCGGCGGGCAGGCCGTGGTGGGCGCCCAGAGCTAGCGTCCCTGGCAGGAAGCACACCAGGTGGTCCTGGAATCAGAGAGTCACCTCACCACCATGGACCTGCGGCCTCACGGGTTCCACACGGGTCCAGCGTTATCAGGCCTCCCGTGTTCCCAGGAGCCAACAGGCCTGAGTGCCGGCAGGGCTCCAACAGGGGACTGAACTGCAGGCCACACACCGGGGCCCCACGTGCACAGGGCAGAAGCTGCTAGAAGGACCACCACCTCCCGGGGAGCACATGCTGACCCGGGTCTCCCTCACCTCTTGCCCCAAACGGCCGATGGAACACCAGCTGCAGGAGGGCGGGGGAAGGGGGGCTGGGGGCAGGGGTCCCCCGGAGCATGGGAGGCGGGGCTTGGAGCAGGGGAGGGGCCCTGGCACCACACAGACCTCAGCTCCCCGTCACGGGACAGCCCAGGCTGCGCAGCCCACGTCCACTCGGGACGGCTCACACTCCGTGGCCAGAATCGCATGGTTCCCTCCGACGTCCAGAGTCTCAGAGCCATCCGATGTCAAGGACAAAGGGCGGAGCCCCAAGACCCCACTCGGCCGCGTCAGACCAGGCTCACCATCTTGGCGCTGAAGCGGCCGTGGGCGAGTTCCCCCACGAAGGTCAGCTTGCCGGGTTCAGATCTGTGCAGCAGGTGCTTTCTGATTCCCTCCACGGCTTCGAGGTAGTCTTCCAGTAGCCTGTGCAGACCAGCAGGGCCCGTGTGCGCAGGCCAGGCGGGCGCACAGCCCCCGTGTTCCGGGAAAGGGCACGACCCTGAGCACCCGTCCCCATTCTCGCAGCTACCCTGTCTGGGGTGGTGCCCCGCCAGTCTCCGCGTGGAGGCCCGCGTCAGCCCCGTGGGCTTCTGCCCCTGCCCCTCACCAGGGCCCGTGCCTCCCAACCAGCCCCAAGGGGCCACCAGAGACCAGTCTCTGCCGAGCCCCTGGCCCCGACGCGCTCACCCCGGTTCTCTGAACCAGCCCGCGGGCTCCCCAGTTGGTGACACCCTCGTCTCACCCGTGGGTGACGGCTTGGAGCTGCCCCTGCCCCTGATTCTGGGTCACTGTCACCCCTGGGCCTGAGACTTGAGGGTTAATCTCTATTTTCCAACCTTGACAAGGAGCTATGGCTGCTCCCCGGGAAAGCGTGCATTTTCAGGGTCAGGGCACTAAGCTCGAGGAGGCCCAGGTGGCCCCGGTCGCCTGCCGCAGGAGCGGACGCCAGAGGGGCGGCCACAGGCCCGAGGAAGACCCCGGCTGCCCGGCACTGACGAGCCATGGACCCCAGCGGCCGGCCGGGCCCTGGCTCTGCACACAGGCTGTGAGAACCCCGCCCTGCAGAGGGGCCCGGCCCCGGCTGGCGTGGCTGCCAGTTCCCACCACCCTGAGAGCTGAGAAACGGGCCTCACTGTGTCTCCTTCTTCCCACCCTGGATCCACTGCTTCAGCAGGTACTCGTAGTAGCTGTCGGCCCTGGCGCCCAGGGTGAACACGCCCAGGTGGGTGAAGAGCCCGCTGTTGGTGTTGATGAACATGGGCACCAGCCCATCCTTCTTCCCGCGCAGGGAGTGCACGCGCCTGGTCACCTCCTCCACGGCCTCCTGGGGCACAGGAGGGCAGCGCAGTGAGCAGGGCGGGCTGCACAGAGGGCTGCGCTCCCTGGATGCTGTCGCCCCGACGGGCCTGACCACAGGGCTGAACCCGCCCTCGCCACGGTTCTCAGCCCCCACCCTTGGGGGACATCTTAGGAGCAAGTGGCCACCGTAGCGCGTGTATGCGTCCTGACAACGTGCACACGACCTCTTCAGTCCACCGACAGGCAAGGGACCTGATGACGCACTTATACACAAAGATACGCAGCAGCCCAACACGCAAACTCAGAAGACGAACCACTGACTGTCAGAAAAGTCGACCCAGCGAGACACAATCACACACCCACTAAGAGGTACAAGTATGGCTGGACAGCACACGACGTCTGTGCAGGACGGGACCCGGCAGGAGCCGTGTTGTCCAGATCCCCAGTGGGGATCCGTCCAGACACGCGGTCAACCCACACGATGAAGCCTGTCTGCGTTGGAAAGGAAGGATTCTGACCAGTCCTGCAACCTTGAGGACACCATGCTCACTCAGCGCCCAGACTGCAGTCACTGCAGGAGGGACACGAACTGACCAGAATGGGGCCCGTGCCAGAGCCCAGCCCTGTGCGGCTGCCAAGGGGGGTCGGCAAACAGTGCTGGGTTCAATCTGGGTGAGGGAATTGTTCTGGAATTACATAACGATGACGGTCACAGACATGTGAGTACACGCAATGTACACAGAAAACAGGATTTCTCGATATATAAACTAAATCTCAATTAAAAGCAAAAGGGAAGGCATCCCTGGTGGTGCAGTGGTTAAGAATCCGCCTGCTGGGCTTCCCTGGTGGCGCAGTGGCTGAGAGTCCACCTGCCGATGCGGGGGACACGGGTTCATGCCCTGGTCCGGGAAGATCCCACATGAAGCAGAGCGGCTGGGCCCGTGAGCCATGGCTGCCGAGCCTGCGCTCTGCAACGGGAGAGGCCACAACAGTGAGAGGCCCGCGTACCACGAAAAAAAAAAAAAAAAAAAAATCCACCTGCCAATGCAGGGGACACGGGTTCGAGCCCTGGTCTGGGAAATCCCACATGGCGGCGGAGCAACTAAGCCCGTGTGCCACACCTACTGAGTCTGTGCTCTAGAGCCCTGCAGCCACAACTGCTGAGCCCTGCAGCCACAACTACTGAAGCCTGCATGCCTAGAACCCATGCTCTGCAACAGGAGAAGCCACCACAATAAGAAGCCCATGCACTGCTACGAAGACCCAACGCAACCAAAAATAAGTAATTAATTAATTTAAAAAAATAAAACAAATAAAATGCCATCTTTTAAAAAAAAAAGGAGGGGGAGGAAAAAAGCTGAAGGAATAGAGGCAACCTTAGAGGAAGGCCCACAGGCAGAGACATCGTCCACAGGAGGGGCCCCGCCTAAGGCGGGCGAGCAGACACTGCTAGAGGCAACAACACACAGAGAGCCAAGAACAAAACCCACAAGTCAGCCCTCCGTTCCACGTGCACCTGCTGGTCCCACCACACAGCAGGAGCCATGCCAGCAACACCGCTCCAGCCGCCCGCCCAGGACAGACATGTGTGTGGGCACAGTCCAGGTGCCACAGCTGGGACAACCACGGTGTCATCTGCACTGAACTGGCTACAAAACCCGGTGACTCCACACATCCCACGGCAGCAGCCACGACAGAGCCGGCCGCCCTCGCTGGCTCAGAAGAGTCCCGGACAACAGTAGGTGGACCCGGGGCCACGCAGAGCACCACACAACAAGACGTCCACTGCCAGGACCCTCAGGACAGAGGACTGCACGGGGGTCGGGCCGGGCAGAGGACTCACCCTCCAGTCAATGCCTTTCATGCCTGCACCTCTGATATCACGAGATAATGGGATTCACCAGGAAAAACGTGGGACAAAACCAAAAACTCACTGGTCTCTGGCCCCAGGATCAATGACCACACAGACCTGCACCTGCCCCACTGAAGCAGAGACGGCCCCGCTGCAAACCCGCTCCAGCTGGAAGCACAGCCCCTCCGTACCTGAAATTTCTTAACTCCCGTGAGACGGGAGAGCTCTCGGAACTCCAGCTGAATGCTTGTCACTTCGGCCACCGTGCTGTCAGAGGTCCAACGCGGTGGGTGGGCAACTCCAGTACCGATGTTTACGTCGGAGTACGGGATCTTCGAGGGTGTCTGGAACGCAGGCATTAACCGATCTCCAAAGTCCTCCTGATACGCAACACAGCGACGAGTCAGTGATTCCTGTCCCAGAGCGGCCTGCCTCCATGGCATGACGCTAACCTGTCACCCGTTTCCATCTAATCCAGTGGAGAGATGAGTTTGCTGGCTTCATGTGGCCCCACCCCTGAAGAGCTGCAGAAACCGAGCTGGACTCAACCAGCTCTGAATGACCACGCCTGCGGGCAGCGGGGCCACTTCAGCCACGCACGTGCACGGAAACAGACTCGAGCACGTGGAGGGGAGCGCAGACTGCAAACAATGCCTCCCCGCCCTGATCTCACGAGAAAAGGACCGACTGTGCAGCACTCGAGACCCCAGGGCCCCCAGGACATGAGCCGACCTGGTGCCGGGACACTCACGGCCTTTTCCAGAAAGAGGACATCCCCGGACAAGTGGAAGGCGCTCAGGAGACCTCCCAGGATACGGATGGTACTCTCAAACAGGTTGACGTCCACATTTTTCTGAAATAATAACTTCTGGGACACCCACTTCCTGGCTTCTTCAAATTCTATCACATGAAACAGCAGAGATACAGGAACAAATTAACAGTCCAAGCGTTTCCCTGACTGCTCCCTCTGGGGCCACATGCATCCCCTGCAGGGTTTCAACATCACTTCCTAGTGCAAGAGGGGACCCTGAAGGCTTCCAATCCCGCAAAAAAAATCGAGCCAGTGTGCAGCTGGGGGAAGGCCATGCAGCACGAGGTCAAGCGCTCGACAATCACAGCCACGCTACAAAGGACCACGAGGGTGAGTGAGTGGCAGGCAGTCTTCAACCCAATCAGAAAACTTAAAGCAGGTGTTTAAAATGCCAGTTTAGAAACACCTAGAGACACACCATCCCAACTTAGCCCCATCTGCGCGGCACACGAGGACATTAGGGAGAGATTCGGGGCGCTGGCGGCTCCATCAGATCACGTGTCACCTCCCACCACCGGGCCCCGCCTGACTGCAACAGAAACACGGGCTGGGAACGCCCCTGGAAGCCCACCTACAGCCTCACTCAGCTCTGGGCAGGGGGCGCAGGGGACGCTTGTCCTGAGCATCCCCAGGCCGCCTGGACGTGAGGGGACAAAGGAACTGCCCACGGCCGGCACGGCCACCCTGGCACCCAGGACAAGGGGAGGCGCAGCCCAGTGGGACACGGCGCGTGGACACCTTCCAGGTCAGGCTCGCTCGGGCCCGAGGGTCACGCACGAGAGCTCGGCCCCCCATGCTAGGGATGAGCAGATACCTTTCTTCAGACCCAAAATCCACATGGTGTCCAGGGCGTCGATCAGCGTGAGGCCGAGGCCGAACCACTCGCTGAAGGACTTGGACACGGGCTTCAGCTCGTCGTGGCCCCAGGCGAACTTGCGGTATCCGGCCCACGCGTGGCGGAAAGCGGCGACCACAGCCTTCTGGCGCTCGTTCTGCGAGGCTGCGAGGAGGGAAGCGGGGCATGGGCACCCGGACAGAGCTGTCCTGCAGCCCCTCGGCGAGGGAGGCAGACGGGGGGCACCGTGGGCTGCAGTGAAGGTCTGAGCAGGACCCGCTGCCTGGCCCGGGCCCATCCGCCTCCACCAGAGCCCGGCGGGGACCACCCTCCGGGGGGCAGTGAACACTTGCAGAGCAAAGGATCGGAGGCCACGGGACCACTACGGCTGCGATGTGCAGTCTGGTTTGGGGACATCAAACGTGACAGGTGCTGGTGACCCGGACAAAAATACCTCATCTGGCGGTGCCACGTCCTGCCCGATCAGCTGCGGGCACTTCCAACGGGGACAAAACGGGGAGCAGACACCACCAAGGCCGCTCCGACACTCCCCAGGGCGCCCTCGGGGCGCGTCCAGAGGCTGCTTCCCGCCACACGCGGGGGGACCACGTGCACACACGGGGCTACCGTGCAGGGGAACACGTGTGTCCACAGCTTCACCACACGTCCCGTCAGTGTCGACACCCACGGCTCTGCCATCCATTTCTGACCCCACACGGTCGCCCCGTGTCCCCACGTGCGTGGCCACGAGTCCCCACTCCGGGCTCTCCTGTCCTCCCTGGGGGCTCCAGCACTGAGAGCAGAGGGTCCCGGCGGGGACCCGGACTCAGTTCTCCTGTCCGTGGAATGGGAACAGGACAGACTGACCCCTCAAAGGGCGACATGAGGACCGCAGCACCCAAGGCCCCTGGCTGCCCGCACACACATGTTCCTGTGCGGCTGCAGCGCCAGACACGGGACAACAGCCGCCAAGGAGCCCCACGTAGTCAGCAAAGCTCTAAGGGGTGCCAGACGCTGAGACCCGTGCGTCCTTGCACCTGGGTGTCCAAGGCTGAGAAGCGCTTGTTGGGACGGCAGGAGCCCCCCGCCGCCCCACCCCTCTTGTGCGTGTCCGCACGCCCCCTCCCTCAGAGTGCCCGGGGGAGGCCCGAGAGGGCGCAGGTGGGACCTTACCTGGACTGTTCCTCATCCTGAGGGCCTGCGGGGAAGGCCTGGGGGCGGCCTCTGCCTTTCTCGGAGGGAGCTGGGGGCCCTGCTCCGGTTCGGTCCCTGTGCCCCTCCAGCTGCAGCGGGAGTAGAGAGAGCACTCAGGGCAGGGGCAGAGGTGCTGAGGCCCCGAGGTCGAGGTCGCAGCCGAGCTGGGCTCAGACTGGGCCTCCACGCCCTCCCACCCCCCACGGGGCACACACTGTCTTCGAGGAAAAGGAACCAGAAGGTGCATTATGCGTCAGGCTGGTTCTCTTGTTTTCCAGGAAAAGAAACACCACAGAGACCGCCTGACGGCCTGTGCGTCCTCATTCAGTCCATCTCTGCTGTACCTGACGCGGCTTCCCTGCGCGTCGTCTTCCCAGCGAGCCTCGCCGGCTGCCTCTGCCCTCCTCTGGGCCTCATCCTGCCTCCTGTCCTTGGCGGCTCCATCGGGGGCTCTAATCTGCAGGTTGGGTGGTCTCCGTCGGAAATGCCTTGGAGGCTTCTGGACAGACACGAGCAGAGACAAGAGTCACTCGTGAAATGATTCAATCGTCCATCTGGGACGCTGCCCCCGACTGACCCGGCCCCGTGCAGGGAGCACTGTGGACTGGCAGAGCAGCTGCAGTTTCCCAGAGGAAACTGTTTTCATTTTTCATACGACGGGCAGCTCTGGGAGGAGCCCCTTACTCGCCAGCTCCTGGCCCTGACTACCCGGCTGGAGGCTCTGCCAACGGGCGAGTGCCACCCTGGACAGCGGGTTAAGCCCCTGGCAGGGACGTTTCCGGGTGTCAGACCCTGAGGCTAGCAGGGCCGGCAGGGTGAGAGCCAGCACGGCCCCATGGATGGAGCTGCAGACACCGTCGCAGGCCCGCGCCCGGACTCCCCAGCTTCATCCTCGGAAAGGCGTGGCAGAGGTGGCCGGTCAGTGACAGAGCGCTGCGGGGAGGGCAGCGCCCCTCCTGGCTCCCAGCCAGCCCTGACCAGTGCGCGTGATGGCAACTCCTCCAGGACGTGAAGACGCTGAGTTGTGAATGGAAAAGTCTCTGGAAATCTTGCTGGTGGATCCCGGAAAGCATTCTCCTTCCAAGGATTCAAACCCCACCAAGCTGGGCCCCCCTGGTCAAGAGCACGGGTGTGGCCGAAACAAGGATGCATCGTTGCTCAAACAGGTCCTGGGGACGAGGGCTGGCGTCTGAGCGGGAGAGAAGGTCCGAGCGGCCCCAGGACTTGTGCCAGGGGAGACACGGGTGTTCAGCCCCTCACGTCCAGCCCCTCCTAGACACCAGAGACGGGGTCGTGGACGCTGAAGTGGGGAAATGTGCCGCATTCTGCTTTCACAGGACTGTGAAGGTCAGTAGGCAGAAGAGCAGCCACAGAAGCGGCAGAAAGAATGGTCGTGGCTCCAGAGGAGAAATTCTCTTTTCTACCCACAGACCCTCCAGTGAGACACGGGGAGAACGGCCACCTGTGTCTCCCCGGGGCAGCCCTGCAGGGGTGTGAGGCCAGCACCCGTCCCAGGATCCTCTCCCTAGGGGGCCCTCGGCACACCCGCAGTGGAGGGTGTCCCCAGGTGCAGAGCGCCCCGGGTTCTCCAAGGCCATCCCCCCCCGGAGCCACTGCCCTTTGCAGGGGACTTTCCCTGGCTCTCTGGCTGCCCCGACTCCCCCCTATTCTCCCCCCGCCCCCCCCCCCCCCCCCCCCCCCCCCCCCGGAAGGCGCCCCAGGGCTAGGCCTCGCCCCTACCTCCCCCTTTCTGGACAGCAGGCACCACGCACCTGCGTACTCCCAAACCTCTCTCCCAGGCCCCGACTGACGCTCGGGCCCCCAGCAACTCGGTCTGGGCAGGTCCAGAGCGGAGTGCCCACCTGAGTGTCCCCCGCCAGTAGCTCCCAGAGAGCTCTGGGTAGGTGGGTCTCGCACCTACCAAGGATCCGGCACAGCAGATGCACAAAGAAGACGAGGGACAGAATGGCCCTCTTCCTTTCCCCCTGTCTCCTTCATCCAACCAGCCCAGAGCAAGAAGTGTGATGTTAAAACCTCAAACAAATGGTAAGAAACAGAACCCTTCCCAGACTGTCTGAAACAGCATGTACTGTTTCGAAATGCTTCTGGCACGGGCCCGGGTTACAACTCCACGTACAGTTTATTCAAAGTACCTGAGGTGACACCCCCGCGAAGGTTTCCAGGTTCTCAGCTGCTCTCTGAGGAGCTGGCAAGACGGGTGGATTTGCGGGTCTCATCTTCGGCCCTTCTGCCGACCTGCTGCCCACGGCTAAATGAGAGAATCTACTTTATCTCAAATTCGCCACAAAGCCTGGAGAACATTCAACGTGCACTCGAGACAGCATCCACACAGCTATGACTCCGTGTAAAAGGACGCGGTGGGACCTCCGAAGAGGGCAGTTCAAGCAATTCAAGAATGGCCAAAGGGAATCAAACCTTTTCCAAAGCACCTGGCCGTTTCTGTCCTTATCCCCACCCACATCCCCGTTGCTCTGCCTTTATGATTTCCGTTTCGGGAAGGGCACAAGGTGGCACACGGGCCATTTACTGGAGCAAACCTACAGCAGCTCTGTAGCCTTCCTCCTCAAAGAAGCCACCCTAGAGCAATTCAGAAGGGACCCTGCACCTCCTCACTGGCACCCTGCCCGGCCCTTCCCAGCTCCCGGTGGCGCGTGTGAGGAATCCACGCGACGCGTTCAGACTCAGGACCTGAATCTCACTGTGAGACAGAGAGAGTGAGATGCTGGTCCTCACAGCAGACATTTGGGGAACAGTCACACAACCTCAAATTAACAGCCACCTCCTAGCCGAGGCTTGGGAACACTCTACGCTTCTCTGTGTTTCGACTTCCTGCCAATGTGTCGACGTCTATGCCTCCTGCAGCTGCGAGAGCGCGCTGCTGCCGCTTCGTCCGCCCTCAGGAACCCCCACGGATCACAGCGGAATCGTGGAGCTGGTACCTTTCCACTCGTCGGCCACACTGATGTAGGACAGGAGGCCGCAGAGCATCAGGAACGCCAGCAGGAAGAGGACCACGTTCCGCTGTAACCTCGACAGCTGCTTCCATTTCTGAGAGGGAGAGACAGACAATGACACTTTTTACTGAAAAGAGCACAGCTGGAAATCGCTCCCACTGTGACACACTCCGTGGGGGCGACGAGGAATTCCGGAGCCCAGCGTGGGCTCTGCTGCTTTTGAACCGGAGGAAGCTGCCTCTCGGCAGCGGCCGCAGGCTGGGATGATCCTGCTGCAGACGACACACCGCACGGGCCCGCGTTCGAGGAGAATGCAAACCCACGCGGAGGCCGTTTCTGGCTGACACGGGGACAGCGGGGAAAGACCGGCAGCCCGCGTGTGCTGGCTCAGGCTCCGCCGGCCTCGCCTCGGCCCTGCAGCCCGAGACCCCGGGAGCCGCGTTCGTGCGCTCGCCCCGGGGAGGCCCCCAGGCCGCCCCTCACCCGCCAGAACGAGCGCCGCCTCAGGCCCTGGCCGCCGTCGTAGCTCCGGCCGGGGCTCAGCGTCACCGAGATGAAGTCCCTACGCGGCGGCAGCGGCGGCGGCGGATACATGACAGCGGCAGCGGGCCGGGGAGCCTCGCCCTCCGGCGTCGTCAGGAGGCCCGGCTCCGAGCTGGGCAGGGAGGCCGGCAGGTCCGACGCCGGTAGGCGGCCATCGCGGCGCCCTCGACTCCCCGCCCATCGCTCTGAGCCAATGCGCCTTTGCCGCGCCCTCGGAGTCCCATTGCGCCTGCGCCCGCCGTCGCTGCCCCTGCGTGCGGGCTTACATCCCACGGCGCGCCTCCGTGCGTGCGCGGTGACGTCACGCCCACCCTGCTCGCTCCTGCGCACATCTCGCTGGTGTGGCTGCGCAGCCGGCGGGGTTTTCGCTCGAGCCGGTTCCCGGGATTTCCCTGTCATTGCGGCCCCGCGCGGCTTCCCCAGGGCCTGTGGGCCGTGGGATGGGCCGGGCCTTCTCGGGCTGGCGCTGACACCGGGCAGGTGTGACACCGCTCCGCCATGTCGGCGGGGTGCCTCTGCGCCCCAGACCCCAGGTCTCGACCCCGCCCTCCCCCACCAGGTGGATTTGATCCGGGTGCCTGCCCCAGAGCCTCGAGAGGCTGGGGCCTGGCGGGGCCGGGGTCAGCGAGAGGACGGGGGGCCCGTTGCACAGTAAGAGGCTCTGGGAGTTTTCATCCATGGACCTATCAACCTTAAAAATAGCTGGCTATTTCATCAGCAAAATGAGTTTATTCAGGAATGGCAGAGGAATCGCCGTTAAGGGTGTGCAAATATAGCCTGTAATAGCCATGTCCAGAGACCAGGGAAAGCAATAGTACTTTACAGAGAAAAAAGGGAAGTTGGGGAGGGCTGGTTTGTATGAAAGTCCATTGGAGGTGGGGCTTAGTGTTAGGTTTGGGGAAGTTCAGAATGCCATGAAGCCTACCTGGATCCGAATGCGTCCTTGTTCCGAGATCCGGTGACCTAAATAGCGATCCTGAGTTTGAGCAACTGCAGTTTTTCCTTGGAGGCTTTAATGCTCCTTTGAAACCAGAAGTTTTAGCAGTTGGATGATGTCTTCCTGTGAAGAGGTTTGAGGAGGCGAGCAGAGCAGATAATCATCCACATTCTGTAATAAAGTAGAGCCTGCAGGAAACAGCATCCACATCAGCCTTTAAGCCTGGGAAAAGTAGGAAGGAATTTCAGTGAAACCTTGGGGCATTAATGTCCAGATGTATTGTCCTTCCCAAGTGAAGGCTGAGAAGGTCTCAGCTAGCCTTATCAGCTGGAATTCAGGCACACCTCGTTTTATTGTACTTTGGTTTATTGCACTTTGCAGATCTTGTGTTTTTTTCAAATTTAAGGTTTGTGGCAACCCTACATCCAGCAAGTCTGTGGGCGCCGTTTTTCCAACAGCATTTGTTCACTTCTTGTCTCTGTGCCACATTTTGGTAATTCTTGGAATTTTTCGAACATTTTCATTACTGTTATATGTGTTATGGTGACCTGTGGTCAGTGATCTTGGATGTTACGATTGCGAAATGTTAGAACTTGCTGAAGGCTCGTGATGGTTAGCATTTCTTGGAATAAAGTATTTTTACATTAAGGTGCGTATATCGTTTTATAGACACAATGCTATTGCACATTTAATAAACTGCATTAGAGTATGAACATAATTTTTATATGCACTGGGACCAAAGTATCCACGTGACTTGCTTTATTGTGATACTCGCTTTTTTGTAATGGTCTAGAACCAAACCCGCAATATCTCTGAGGTGTGCCTGTACCAAAGCATGCGCGGCACAGATTAATAACAGTGAAAAAACGTGCTTTCAGTAGGAATGGATGCTAGTAGAGTATGGAGGTTAAGAACAACAGGGTGTCGAGGGGCAGCAACGTTGATTATTGCCTGCAGGTCCTGGACAGACCTCCATCCTCAGCCATTGGGCTTTCTCACAGGTTATATTTAATAGTATTACTAGCACAAGGGGTAGTGAGGCTCTGAGCCTTGGAATCCTCTTACGGGCTTTATACCTTGAAGGGCTTCTTTCCTCCTAGGGTATTGATTAGTTCTGGGGAGAGGTTTCGAGGGACCTATTTGAGTGTCAATGGGAAGAGCACTGGGGATTTTGCCAATATCAGTTGGAGACGTTTTGCCCATAAGGAGGATGGTAGCTGACTCAGTAGGGACAAATGATCAGCGTCTCCCGAATCAGCTCCAGGACCGTCAGAGACAAAGCAAAGCCAAGCCAGTGAAAGGTCACTTAATTCACCTGGTTGGCTATTTTGACTGTTACTGTGAAATTCTAGAATTATTTCCCCTTTTGGGAGAAAGAAATTCCAGCATATTTGCTGAGCTGTCTTGGCCCAATAAATGAATAGGGGCGGAGAGACTAAGGAGGGAATTGTGGGTATCTCTCAGGGGCCTAAACGAAAAGGAACAGGTTCAGAGACAGGACCCTGTTGAGGTTCATCAGAGACCCCCACTATTTGGATCACTTTCGTGCTCCGAGGCAGGGGCTGCTTTACCGCAGTTGAACTGAGAGTGTGGCTCTGGTGCCAGAAGAGATTGATTCCCAATCTGGAGAGTTGTTTTTCTGAGCTGGTGAAGAGGGAGGGTTGGGAAGAACCCCTGTGGTTCCTCAGAGGCCCGTTGGTGGTGGTCAGGAGGGCGTTGGAAAGGCTGGTTAGAGGGCTGAAGGCACTTGAAGCACTTACACTTGTGACAATCTTTTCCCCAAAGTCCTGGCTTTTTGCGATAATAGCAGGAACTAGGAGGGTTTGGGTTTTGTCTAGGGACCTTCATTTGCTGGAGTTGAAGGTTAAGGGTTTGAGTGGACTTCCTTTCAGTTGAATAGTCTAGAGTGCAGATGAGTTGGTGGCTAAATTAGCTAAATCCGGAGTGGACACGGTTTCCGGTTCAACCCTGGTTCTTTTATCTAGAAGGGAAGGATCCCAGTTACGCCTGTTAATGAACACAGAGTTAAAGGCTACCTGAGTGGATTTGTTACCAAAGCAAACTTGGGTCTGATCGTCCATGCAGTAAAGCCAATCTCCTGACACCAGTGTGTGAGGAAGGAAAGGGCAGTGTTCATTGCAGGCGCTAAGCAAGGAGTCCACGCAGCTAGTGCTCAAAAGACCCAAACTACCTTAACTCTTCCAGGTAAAGGTTGTTGTTGTTTTTTTGTTTGTTTTTTTTTTGCGGTACACGGGCCTCTCACTGCTGTGGCCTCTCCCGTTGCAGAGTACAGGCTCCGGATGCACAGGCTCAGCGGCCACGGCTCATGGGCCCAGCCGCTCCGCGGCACGTGGGATCTTCCCAGACCGGGGCATGAACCCGTGTCCCCTGCATCGACAGGTGGACTCTCAAGCACTGCGCCACCAGGGAAGCCCCAAGTAAAGGTTTTTAAAGACAGGGTGAGGGAGAAGGGTTGTGGGGTGTGTGATCAGCTCGTGGACATTTTTTTCTTTTAATAACTTTACTGATTTTGTAAAAAATATTTATTTTTGGCCACGTTGGGTCTTCATTGCTGCGTGCGGTCTTCCTTCTAGTTGCGGCGAGCGGGGGCTACTCTTTGATGCAGTGCTCGGGCTTCTCATTGCAGTGGCTCATCTTTGTTGCGGAGCATGGGCTGTAGGCACGTGGGCTCAGTAGTTGTGGCGCACGGGCTCAGTAGTTGTGGCACACGGGCTTAGATGCTCCGTGGCACGTGGGATCTTCCCGGACCAGGGCTCGAACCCATGTCCCCTGCATCAGCAGGAGGATTCTTAACCACTGCGCCATGAGGGAAGTTTGCACACTCTTCTGATGGGTTGGTGGTGAGGTTATTGGGAGTCAGCATCGTCAACCTTCTGGTTCCAACCGGTCTGGGGTCTCCATGCTGGAGCGACAGAACACAGTTAGCTTCTTCCACCTGGTGGGGTTTTCAGTATCTGCAACACAGCTCAAGAACATGGCTCAGAATATTATCTTTAGCCCTTGAGGAGGAACTAAAGGTCCTTGGCTTTGTTTAATGGCTAAACTATTGTTTTTTGGTATTGTTTGTTTTTCTTTCTTCTGCATTTTCTCACTTCCCTGATTAAATGTACTCTTGGAACTCGGGGAAGGCCTGGGAGACTAAAGGTTTTCTACAGACAAGAGGCAGGTGGAGGACATGGTGGGGGGGAGGGGCTGTTCTGGGAAGGCTCCATAGTGTCCTGCTCGTGTACAGATTCAGTCTCCAGAGGAAGACCAGAATTTTCTTTAAGGACAACCTGAAGTCGACTATAATAGCTGTGAACACGTTTGTCAGATCGTTGCCTGCCAGCCTGAATTTTGTTCCCATCAACAAGCTTAGGAAAAGCTTTTGAAATGTTCAGTAAAGATCTCCAGCAAGTCCCCATGCCTGTCAACAGTCAGGGTCTGTTTTTCCAAATCCCTTCCAGATTGCCACTTGGTTTCATTCAGTATGGGGCCTGACCTTCACTAATAAGGCTGTGGACTAATTGATACATATCTGAGAAGCCAGGCTGACAAGTTTGAATCACTAATGTTAAATTCTTCAGCAAACCTATGGGTTTCTCAGTTACTTTCAGAAAATCTTTGGATTTTCTGAATCCAATTGTTAGCCATCTATGGATGGCTAACAATTCAACTTTACTTAGTTTGGGGAACATAAAACACTAGGGATTTAGCGTTTGGACCCCCAGAAGGTTTAACTTTATTAAGTTCAGGGGAGGGGGAAGTGGGCAGAGGTTTTGAGAAAAAGAGGAGTCTCAGCAGGAGGGTTAAGAGGAGGGGGTGGGAGGCCCAGAGGAGGTGGGGATGGCAGGGGGTGAAGGGAAGGCGGGGATGGGGGCACAGGGAGGGGAGGGGAAAGGCCTCAGAAGCCATTTCATGTTCTTTCAAGTGTTTGCTCGCCTCCATTAGTTAGTTTAGAAGTAGTATTTTGTAAAGAGGCAATTTTAGAGTCCTGGATATGTTTGGAAGCCTCAAGGTACAAATTAAAATAAGCATCCCAGAAATTCCCTGGCAATCCAGTGGTTAGGGCTCTGTGCTTCCACTGCAGGGGTCACGGGTTCAATCCCTGGGCTGAGGAACTAAGATCCCACAGGCTGGAAAAAAAAAAAAAAATCCCACTCAGTCTGTTTAGTTTCAGAGCCATGGCTTTCTGAGTTGATTCTGAGACAAACAAGTTTGGGGAAAACCAA